GGCGCTCGCTCGCTCCTCTCTCGCTCCCTCGCTCGCTCCCTCACACACGCGCGGAGGGAGGCGAAGCCCGCAGCAGCCACTTCCCCACTTTCCAAACTTCCCAGCGCAACTTTTTCCTCTCCTCCCCTGCCCGTGCCTCCTCCTCCCCCATCGCTCCCCCTTCCCCTGGCCCGCTCCCCGCCGGCCCTAGCTTCGGTGCGCGGCCGCCAGGGGGCGCCCGGGCCGAGGCCCCGCTCGGCCAAACTCTGTGGGATCTTCTGTGGACAGGGACTAGGCTAGGGGACGAATTCTGGGGACCTGGACCAGCATCGCCCAAAGCATCTGATGCGCAGGTCGCGGAGGGAGTTAACAGCGAAAGAAGCAGGAGTGGGCAGGCACTCCCAGACTGGCTGGGAAGGCAGCACTCAAAGGAAATCCAGGGAACCTGGTAATTACAACTTTGTATCATACAGTGCCTGGCTAACACTGGCAATGTGCTTAGTACGTGCCCTGCAGACACCAGGTGAATTAAAACAAAACAGAACAGCAGAGTAATCTTCCTCACAATTCCTTGGCACCTCCATTTGAACAATCTTCTCCCATTAACTTCCTTGGACCCACATAGGATCCCTGTAAATGGCCAGGGAACAGGGAAGATTCATATCCCAAATCCTTACACCATGGGAATTGAGAGAACCTTTAAATCCAATTTTCTGTTCCTGAGGGGCAAATGAAGCTTAGAGAAAACCAAGGGACAGGGGCAAGCGTCTGCATTTTCAGCAAATGGGGAAACAGTCACAGAAGCCTTGCTTAGATCTGTTAAATGAAAGTTCATGACACCTATGCTGACAACAGAGATTGAAGTATGAATTAGGTAGAATTATCAGAAGCCCATAGCCCAGATAGGCAGACAGGGACAGACATGCAAAAAGGCCATTAAAACCAGACAACGAGGGGTGCCTGGGTGGCTCAGCCGGTTGACCGGCCGACTTTGGCTCAGGTCATGATCTCACGGTTTGTGAGTTCAAGCCCCACATCAGGCTCTGTACTGACAGCTCAGAGCCTGGAGTCTGCTTCAGATTCTGTGTCTCCCTCTCTCTCTGCCCCTCCCCCACTGGTGC